CCAGTACTTAAAATGGGAATCTCTGCCTAAAATGTATGGGCTATTTGCCTGTCCAGGTTAGTATAGCTACTGCAGTCTTCAGTGCAGCCCCATCTAGAAATGAGATGTGTAAAATGTGGGCCTCACTACCATTTTTCTCTTGGATCGTAAACTTGAGTCTGCCTTTGTGTGCATGGCATTTAACACAGTTGATCTGCATCCTACATGAAATGCTCTATACTACAATACTGTGGTAATATATACTATAAAAAGTATCTTTATGAGTTCCTCATACCTTTATCCAAAAACAAACCCAAATAAAAACATCCTAGAAATGAATTTGCTGTATGTCCAGCAGAAAGCATACTGCTCATGTACTGGAAAATTAGCTCATCAGGTAGATTGAACCATGGTGCAACTGTCCAGCAAATACAAACTCTTTCACATATCTCCAGTTTCTCACAAGTTTGCTGCCTTGAAGGGTTGTGTGCCATGTGAACATTTTTACTTCTTTGTCTAAATGTTAGTTTCAAAGATTAATTCAGACACACTGTTTCCTGGCTGCTTAAATTTCAGGTTAGTAAAGGTCCCCTTTTCCAGAAAAAAAAAAAAAAGACAACTTTAATTTTAGTTTTACTCTTTTTTTTTTTTTTAACTCAAAATACATCCTTCTCACATAACCCCCTACCTGCTCAGCTTGTTCTCCTGAGAGCGAAAACATTGACAGCTCTCTCCAGTGCTGCCTTTGAACCTATTCATATTAACTTTCACTTCTGGAGGAGAGAAAAGTAAATCCTCAGCTACCAATTTTATGCAAATAGTGTTGGATACATGTCTCTTTCTAAATGGATCTTTACTGTGTAGTCTTGCTCCTCTCTGAAAAGTTTCAGGACCCCTGCCTGAGCATCCCTCCAGCAGTCCTGTTAGAGGGTGGTTTGGACTAAAGGAATAGCTGGAAGGTGTATTTATTTCCAGAACTGGTGAAATCATAAGGTATTCTAAAGTGGTGTGTTGAAAGAATTCCATTTTATGCTCTGCTGTAACAGAAAGCAGTATTTGAAGAGGATACTGAAGACTATAAAAGAGAAAATTAAATAAAGCTAGTTTTTCCATATAGTGGTCTACAAAACGAAACAAATTCAGTAAGTGTAGCCATTATTGTTTTCAATTGGTGTTACACTTGAATAAAAAGCCTGAAACCCTGCATCAGTCCCTCAGTAGTGGTAGTTGGATGTGCGGAGATATTAAAGTGATTGAGTTATTCAATATACCTGTAATTTTTACTACATATTGTCATCTAAGATACATAAAACCTTGTGTAACTCTTTACCTTTCATTTGTCCTTCTAAGCACAGTGTCATTATGTATCCATGAAGAGAACGAATGAAATGAATGCTTTAAAAAAATCAATTTCTGGAAAAAATATTTATATTCAATTACTGCTTGTAGAACAGAGCCTTAGCAGTTCCAGTGTTTCTTTACTGGAGTCTTCCATACTGCTATATTCTGTTCTGGCATGTAATAAATTCAGGCAGAAATAATAGAAATAACAATCCAGAGAGGTAACGTTTTCTAGAAAGAAAGTTTAGAAGTAGATTCTGTGATTTCTTTGTGATCTTAAGGAAGTGTTGGGGTTTTTTTGTTTGTTTTGCTTTGTTTTTAGCTATTTGTCTCACTAGGGTGAGAGCTTATTATTGTTTGTAAAGTGTTTTGACAATCTTTGCCATATTATATGTTAGAAATGGCAGAGTGTTGCTGTTGGTCTAGAAAGCATAATAAAGATTTTACTAGATACCTCTGTAAAATTTATAACTTGAGAAAATTCTCTGCTTATCCTGCAAGTACTTCCCTTCTTCCTCCCAGCTACACAACTGTATACAACACAAAAAATTGTCTCATTCTTCCATCAGATATTATTGAACTATAAAAAATGGCCTTGTCTTCTCTGTGCTTCTTAAAAGATTAAGAAAGAAAAATGACAGACTTGCTCAGCTGTAAATTTCTTGCCAAACTGAAGTTAATGAATGTCCCCTCTACTGGTAAACAGTCAAAAGCAGATGTGAAGGTTATAAAATAGCAATAGGCACCATGTTACCAATATATGTACATGTATTATATACATAATATTATATAATACATATATACACACATACACAGGAAAGTACTGGGGATAATTGCCACCAAATTTTCATGAAATCCTAACCAGAATGGCAGCCCTGTTTTCATTTCATCTCTTGAACAATATGTAAGTTCAAGCTTTAGAAGAGTGAATCATGCCTATTGCTTATTGATTTTGATATATGCTCTTGACAGTTAGCCTGGTGTCTAAGGAAAAAACCAAAACTGAAAAAAGGTTTCTATTACTGCAGATATTGAACAAAAAGAGTTGAAAAGAAATAACTCTAATTTTGTTTTTTACCCAGTGGGGTCTCAGGTATTGTACTGCATGGGTGCAGTACAGATCAGAACACACGTTAATGTCCGTCTACTTGGACTCAATATAATTAAGCAACAAAGCCCCCCACTCTTCCAAAAGGATTCTCTATTCATAGGTACTTTTTTTATTCTTGCAACTGTCAGTTATACTGGTCCAGTGTGTAACTTCAGGGAATGAAATAAAATGCTATTAAAGCCAATATGCGGTGAGTCATCAGTGATCCATTTGATTAAAAATTTCTTAGTTTATTCATCACTGAATATGTCTCAAAAATGCTTATAACTAAATATGCATTTTAATTACAATATTAGCAGCACAAAAACATCTATACTGAATTAGAAAACATAAAGATTGAGATTTATGCACAAGATATTTCAGTGTTAGGGAAAAGTTGGAGATGGATTAGAGACTGATATGCATCCACACACATCTCTGTTGTGTCTGAACAATTCCTGGGATCTCTGGCAGTCATCTGGAAAAAGCCTTTATCTGCAGGAAGGGAGATCCTACGGGATGTGCTTACCGACAAATAATGCAGATTTCTTTTATTTTTCCTTCAGCAGATAAAAGAGGGAGGAACTTAAGGGGAACCAATGTTTTATGGAGGTGCCCTTTAGCAGACTTGGCCAGAGAGCAGGCTGCCTTTCTTGATCTTTAAGAAGGCTGAAATTTTTAAGTAGATGCTTGTTTGTATGTTAATATTTTTACTGTGAAATTTATAAAGTCGGTGAAATTCTGATTTGTAATAATCTTTCCTTTGGAGAATGCAAATTGCTTGATCTCTTACCTTCCATAAAAATTGCAGTGGAAGTGGCTCTTGAACACAGTTGCCCTTTGTACAAGTTGTTGAGCAGGCATTCTGTTCACATATGCCAAGATTTCTTTGAAACCCTTGAAACACATGCCTTGATTTCTGTCTGTTGCAAAAACAAATCCATTCCTTTCATCATGCAGTTCCGATCACTGCAGGTTCTTTGTGGCTAAGCACCCTATAGAACTTTCTTTGCATTTTTCTTCTTCGAACAACATTTTCCTATGACAAAACTAAAGAAATCTGTACTTTCCCTCTTCCCTGTTGCAGTGTTTTCAAAGAGAAGGAATATAAAAACCACATGGCATCCTAATGAAGGCCAAAAGGTTTAGATACCCCACCCGCATTCTTCTTGGGGCAGAGGTTATTTGAGAAAAGCTGCTTTCATGAAGCACACAGAGCTGATCGCAATGTTTTCAAGTTTGGAACATATCTGCACAAAATAAGTAAAGAGTGGCATTTGACAAACCAGAAGCATAGAATATGTGGAAATCAGTGGCATCCTGTAGGGCAGTATCACTTCTTCCTATTGTGGAGATTTTGATTGAAGCATCTCATTGTAGTGGAATAAATACCTAGATTCCCTTTTAAATACTTGCAATAAATAATATGACTAATCTATGCTTTTTTGCTGCTTTATGATTATCACTTGTGCTTCACGTATCAGCTGCTCTTAACACTTACGAGGCCCTGATATATAGCTAAATGTTTCTGTCTCCATCTGGCACAAAGAGAAGTGACACAGAAGTGCTCCCTAGCCAGTTTATTGCAATTTAATATAAATCTGTTGTAATGCAGCTGATGAAAAGTGCAGTGCCTTTTGTGGATGCTGAGAGCCATGATTGGGTTGTGGTGGTTACAGTGACCTCTGAAGATTTGCTGGGTTTAATTTCACATTAAACGGACATTAGCTGACTCAGATTCCTCACTGATTCCCATTGCCAGGACGCTGCCCTTCATCATCCTCTTCCTTTTCTCCTTGTGGTGACCTCATTCATCCAGGTTTCCTATCTCAGCCTTTTTTTTCTTCTTTGGTACTAATTGCAGCCTCCTAACACTTCACAACAGACAGAGCCATGCTGTTGACATCCACTGTAATGTATTATTTAGCTAATGTTCCTTCAAATTTTCTGTGTGCTGTGATTCTTGCTTTTGTTTTTTCAGTAGCTAGGAAAAAATGGCTGCAATGTTTTAAACAGTAAAATTTTTCCCTCATTTTTAGCTTTCTTTAAGTTTTTCTCCAGCAGATTGAGGACTTACCCAGGGAAAAAAGTTTGTGTGTTTTTTGAGTTACATTAACCAGTCCAACCAGCTGGATAGGTTAAAGGTGGAAAGCAAAGGTTAATTAAGATACAGACTTCAGATTTGTTATATTATTAGCAACAAAGAACATCTTGTCCAAGATACCAATGCCTTCCTTTGTAAATCTGTGATTCTGTAATAAACAGAATATTGTGCTAACTTCACCAACCATTTGTTTTAAAATATTTAAGGTTAGAGTGTAAATTCTTTTGCACAAGAACAAAACCTGCAGTCATCTTCCTCTTCCAAATAAGCTTTATGTGATATGGGTACAAATGGTGTTTTCTCTTTGTGTATTCACTGAAGCAAAATGACCCAGTACACCTGTCTCTTTGTGCTCCTGCAGCAAGGTGACAGTCATACAAAATAATTTTACATAAAGTTTTCTGTAGGATTTTTCCCTATCGTCCAATAGGAGATACTTTTTTTGTAAATTTAAAAAAATATATCTTATTTTAATGATTTATTTTCTTTTCATTACAGAGAAAGTCTGTTGTTGCCGTGAGTTTCATTGCAGCATTCCTCTGTCTGATCATTGTTCGTCTCACAAATGAAGTCACTTTCCCTTTGATTCTAAACTGCTTTGGACAAACCAGTGTCAAGTGGATACCATTTTCTAATGGCCAAAGGCAGCTTCTGAGAACTCACTATGGATATGTAAACGTGAAAACACAAGAGGTAAGTTTTGGTATTAAAAAAGCAGCAAAGTGGACCAGTAGATCTCTCTTTGATCCCTCATTACTGCTTTCCACTGCCCAGTGGGAAAACAAAAAGAAGTTGGCAATGTTTCTGAGCTAAGTGTCTCTTAAAACTGTGCTACCATTTAAATGACTACTGAATGATTTGAATTTTTGCAATGTCTGAAGTGGATCAAAAAGTGATCTGGTCTCAAAAATTGTGCTTGGATATGATTAAGACTGGCTTTTACACAAGAAAGAGAAGTTTTCTAATGAATTTCCAAGACTTCAGTCCATATGCATGAACTCTCCCTGTGCATTTTTTAATAGAAATTCTAAAAACAAAAGAAAACAATTTTTCTTAAGACACCAAAGGAAGAAGTAGTTATCTATGTTTCTGTGTGCGTAGAAGAAGAAAACAGAGTGATTTGTGAAACAAACATTTGTGAGCATAGAGAAGGAGCGGAGCTAGAGATGGACCGGATTTTTCTGAAATTTGCTACTTAAAACTTGCTATCTCTTGTCCATATTTATGAAGTGTGTTGACCCGTAGCTGCCTTGCAAAATACATACTTAGCAGTTTGATAAAAAGGTATTTTACAGAGAATTCAGCTTTGAACTATCTTAGTTGGCAAATACCTAATAAAATTACTAGTTCCCTGTGGTGGTGGTGCTTCTTCTGGAAAATTTTCCCCTCTCTGTTTTTGTACTATTTATAATAGTTTATAAGACTTTACTACTTCACGATATTCAGTCCTACAAGTACACTGGACAAATTATTTATTATTTTGCTGTTAGTATGTTAAAAATGAAAATCAGAATGAGGAAGAACTGTTGTCTTTAGGAGGTAGCTTCTAATTGTTTGCATAAGATGCAGCTTTGAGTGCACTGGATGACAAAATACTTTATCTACAGAGCAGAAAAAGGACAAGTGCCAGAAAGGAAATTTGTTTGAGTCAGGGAGAATCCTAGTCTCAGTGAAGTGAGCGGGAGCTCTGCTGCTGAGTTCAAAGAGGGTAAGGCCTCATCCAGCATATCTCAAATATGAAAGGACTTGGTACCCACTTGAAATGAGAGGGCAGTTCAGTGTGCTGCTGTGTTATGTGAATGTCAAGGCTGCAGGTGTGGAATCTGAATGAGATAGAGCTGCCAGGGCCAATTGATCACTATCAGTCTGAACTGATAACTGGAGAGGAGAGGAGCATCTAATCCATTTTTATTCACCATTGCCTTCTTCAGAGGTTACTTATATCTTATGGGAGCCTTAATTCATTCTTAAATTTGATAATACTCTTGGAAGTTCTGATGTTAAATGGAAATGAATGTCTTGAAATTTGGTGTCCAATATGGATTAGTAAGACATTTGTCTCAATTTAGCTTAGGTCTTGAAGGGCCCCTTAAACTCAGTAATTTTAGTTGTTTTCCCCCTTGTATTTGTAGATTACGTTAATATTTTCTAATTAAAATGATAATGAAGAAACAGAACATGCCCTGCTAATTGTGAATGCACTATCTTCTGTCTTAATTATTCCCTGTGTGGGGAAAGTTTTATCATGCTGCCCATGTGAAAAGATTTTACGCATCTCATGTTCCTAACCTGTGCTCAGACCTTTTCTGGGACTACAATTTTTATAATGCAGATTGCTTTATAGAAGGATGTAAATATGCATTTACATTCTTTGTATTAAGATGGCTGGAAATTCTCAGTTGTTCAGTTTGGACACATACTTCTCATTTCTTTCTCAATTTCTGTTCATTTCATTGGGTTCATATATTCTTTTCTGGTCTTTTTGTGCTGCTAGATTATATAAGGTCCATTCTGTGAGTGCTGCTAATGCCCAAAGCAAATGTAGCTAAGGTTTTTATAAAAAAGGACTCATGCCATTTCATCGGTAGGTAAGGACCAAAAGGTGGCGGAACTCTAGCATAATGTGTTATTAGAAAATTGCACAATAAAAGGGAAGATAACAGAGAAAATAATTTTAAGAATATGAATTACCTTTCCTCTCTTGTTGAGAGAATGTGTGCACACTCATTGCATATGTTGATCGTCTTCTAGGGTGTCTTTTGAAGCCTGCCACCCTACCAGGTCCTACATGTATCCTGCTGTCTGATAATGCTGCCTGCTGTTCCTCAGCCAATTCCAACGTCTTTTTTCTTTCTTTACTGTTTCTCTGTTCTTCTTTACCTGCTCCTCTCAGGCTCCGCTCTGTGGCAGCATGCCTGGCTGCATGCAACACCCCAACTTCTCTGTGTTTTAAAATAGTACATGCACTTAGTCAACAAAACACAGCAATCAAAGCACTGAGCACCAGCTCGGTCAATGTCTATTATTCCTTTCCCATTCCTACCTCATATAATTATTCTCTGAGGAAAAAGGGAAAAAGAAAACATAACAATCATCTTTAATCCCTGGGTAAAAGAAGGCAAAGTTAGGAGAAGTTTACTTCTTTCAGGGTAAGGCTGAATGGGATGAGTTTGGAAACCTTATAAGATGATGGCTCATCAGTTTCTTGGTGGTTAGGGCTAAGGAGGTCATTGCCTTGTATTAAACAAGCTCTGAAAAAGTGGTAATATGAACATTTGCACCTCAAGTGAAAGCAAGCAACATGTATATTATTAGTTAGGATCAGAATAATGTGGTAAAGACACATTTCAAGTATGCTGTGTATTTGACTTGACAGTATAATTGTATGAAATTTTTGTTATAAAAAATTCTGAAAACATTTTAAGATTACTATAACTGGATTATACAGAAATATTTAATATAAACTGTGAAGAGAGACATAACTTAATCCCTAATTAAGGCTGCGCATAATACAATATTGTTGCTATGGTTCCCTTGATTTGTATCTATAGAAACAGCTTTAGAAAAATGGAGTTTATGTACAGTAAACATAGTATATTTGAAGTATAAATAGATGTGAAGTGTTGTACTATACCGACCCATCATGTCTAGACACATTTAAATTTGGATTTTGAGATATTTCTGAAATAGATGATTCCTCACAGAAAGCTTACATCTAGTCCCTTTCCTCTCCTTAAGTACAGAGGATTCTTTAGTTTAGCCCTCCACGATGAGATCTTTTCTCCCTTTTCAGTGCCCCCATTTGAGAGAATTCCTTGAGATTTGAGAGGATGGCTGCCTGATATGCAGTGTTGCTCTCTCATTCAAGTACATGAATATGGGTATAGATGTATATCTATATCTATCTGTATATGGGTAAGATGACCTTTGCTATCTTTTCTGTCCCCTGTTTTGTCTCTTTTGCACCTTTTGGATTGTGGTGATTGATTCTGAAATGATTAAATCTATTTTTTGTGGTTTAACCCTGCAGGTGGCTCAGAACCACACAGTCATTTTCTCACTCCCCCTTTTCCCAGTGGAATGAGGAAGAGAATCAGAAACAAACAAACAAACAAACAAAACAACACCAAAAGCACAAAGTAGAACTCATGGATTGAGATGCACACTATTTAATAAGACAGACAAAAGGAAAATGATAATAGCAATGACTTTCTCTCTCTCTCTCTCTCTATGTATGGAACATGTGCTGCACAAGCAATTGCTCACTATCCCCTGACCAATGCTCAGCCAGCCCCTTAGCAGTAGAAGGAAGATAACCTCCCACCCACTTCAATACTCTCTGCATGATTTCATACAGCATGGAGAATCCCTTTGGCCAGTTTAAGTTAGCTGTCCTAATTCTGTCCCCTCCCAGCTACTTGGGCCTCTGCCCAGCCCTTTGCTGAGAAACTGGAGTGGCCTTGGTTGCATACAACGCTGCTTAGCAGCAACTATAACAATCAGTGTGTTATCAATACCGTTTTACTCTTTGAACCAAAGCATATCACAGTACCAGGCACTCTGAAGAGAACACTTCTGTCCCAGCTGAAAAAAAGACATCATCTTCAATAAATGCCATGTCTATCGTGTTACTTCTTTTTATCTTCTTCCTGCTCCTGGTTATTTTAATAGAAATTTTTATTGTGATATAGCTCCAGAGTGGTTAGCAAATGTAAGCCTATTGTCTTTTGAGTAAACTTCATCTACCTGCCCCAAGGTATGCAATAATTCTTGTGTATCGAGGCAAGCAGCTAAAAAGGAGCAGGTATGGAAAATATAATCTTCCTCCCTCTTTCATGCTGCTAGTTCTCTACAAAGAGTTCAAGCAAAATTAATGAACATCATGTATTTAAATTGCAGCATTATGGCACCAATTTAAAGCCCATTAAGAGTTTGAAACTTTCTGCTGAGCAAGTCTAATAGGGTTCTTGGATATTTGATTGTGCTCCCTGAAAGGTGAATTTTGAATAGATTTTTATTCTGCCATCAGTATTGAAATAATATAGCATTTTCTTACGTATGTAAAATCTGAAATATAGCTGCAATAACACTTGATACATAATTATAGGAAGCATATTCAAGTACTACACAAAGATTAAAACCGTTCTTGGAAAAGGGTAAGTTCTGATGTGACCTAAAATCCTTACATTAAGCTGCAGCTGTGAGATCTAATGGCTTAATCTAAAATGAGTTCTGAGGGAGAGAAAAGGATTTGTGTCACGAACATTGAAGAATCTCATAGTATTGTGATGAGCACTAGACAAAATGAACATGCTTTGTAACCGTCAGGATTTTTAAAATCTCTTTGTAACTGAAAAAAAACATCAATACTGCTGATGTTGAATAAATAAATTTGAATTATCTTAGCACATATGCTTTGGTCACATGGGCTGGATAAATCAGTGTACAAGCAATAAGCTGCTTTCTACGTGTAGCACATGGAGCTGTGTGTATGTCTAAATCTAATTCTTTCAATTCCTTTCACTAGAAGTTCTCCAGTAGAACTCAAATGCACATGAGGTGGAGTCATCCATTAAGTTCTATTTAGATGAAATATCCCAGATGTTAATAAATATGGGAGGAGGCTGCAGACCATATAATTTAGTTGCATAATCTGTTTTTATTATTAGCAATGAAGTTATTTGGAGAAAAAA